TGGTTAAACAAAGGGACCTGCTTTGGAGATCTTCATCTCAGTTTTCCTCATAGTAGACTCAATGGAATGAATGGGCCAGATTCAGTCCATTTCAATAGGTCTACCCCGAGTACCCTGATACAGCCCAGGGTTTGTGCAGTGCATTCATACTCACTGAGTGACAAGAGGCATCTCTCTGAAGAGGGGTAGCTAGACAACAATGTGCCCTCCATGTGTCGTTTGACTACAGCTCCCCAGAAAAGACAGCCGGGGGGGGGGAGAGAACTATGGAAAGCCCCACAGGTGCACAGTTAAGCCAGTGTGGTGTAGTGGTTAAGAGCAGTGGACTCGTAATCTGGTGAACCGGGTTCACTTCCCCGCCCTCCACCCGCAGCTGCTGGGTGACCTTCGGCTAGTCACACTTCTTTGTAGTCTCTCAGCCCCACTCAACTCACATAGTGTTTGTTGTCGGGGAGGAAAGGAAAGGAGAATGTTAGCCGCTTTGAGACTCCTTCGGGTAGTGATAAAGTGGGATATCAAATCCAAACTCTTCTTCTTCTTTCAATGCTACCAAAGAAAAAAAGGCCTGAGAAAATGTGGCGTAAGATACCACCATCCCATCGCGTCTCCACCCCCATCGTTCTGCCCGGACACTGAGGTTCAGCACTGAGGGCCTTCAGGCGGTTCCCTCACTGTGAGAAGCCAAGTTACAGGGAACCAGGCAGAGGGCCTTCTCGGTTGTGGCACCCGCCCTGTGGAATGCCCTCCCACCAGATGTCAAAGAAAAAAACTACTACCAGACTTTTAGAGGACATCTGAAGGCAGCCCTGTTTAGGGAAGCTGTTAATGTTTGATGCATTACTGTATTTTAATATTTTGTTGGAAGCCAACCAGAGTAGCTGGGGAAGCCCAGACAGATGGGCGGGGTATAAATAATAAATTATTATTATATTATCGCGTTTCGAGCGACACCCTTCCACAGGAGATCAACTGTTATTATTCTCCGGTAAAAACACAGGCCAAAGGAGGTAACAGACGTTATCCTCTACGTCCTGAGAGACAGCGCAGATTAGTGCTTGCGGAATCACATTGCAAAATCCAGGCGAGGTGTGAATTTTTAAAGGTGGGTGTGGTTCAGAAAGCGGGAATGAGCTAGATGTGCCTTTAAATGTGAACTGAATTGAGCTTATCCCCCTTCTCTGGTTAGTACTGACTCCAGGTTTTTTTAGGGCTTTTGGACCAGACCCAGGCCCTGGTCCCACTCTGCCACAATTATCGCCGGCTGCTTCCTCATCATTGCTCCTATTGGCTGGCTTGCCAGGCAGAGGGCCAATGAGCAAGCAAGAAGTGGCATCTGCTCCTCTTCCTTCTCATCATTGTCTGTCAAGGACTGGACTAAGAAGGAATGGTGGAGACCGTCTCTCCCTTCTCCTGAACCTTCCCAAGAAGAGGGGGACAGTATAGATTTACAACAGTGGTTTGCAGAGGGTCACAGCTCAAGAGACAGAAGAGGGGCACAGCTGGGAAGTAATGGGAGAAGCAGAGCAGGAACAGCTGGCTGACACAGTATCACTAGAGAGCATTCCAGACCCCCCTTCTCCCAGAACATGGCGAGCGATGGAAGCAGGAGAGCAGAGAGCCCAGAGGCAATTATCCCTAAGCAGTGCTGGATTTACGTATAAATTAAACAAGTTATAGCTTAGGGCCCCACTCTCTTGGGGGCCCCCCAAAAAAATTAAAGTACAAATAAACTGGATGTACATTTCCAAAATAAAAGATAAAAAACAAATAAAATAAAACCTACACACAGTAACAGTGTTTTGTGTTGTGTAGGCTCCTATGATGTAAGTAATGGGCCCCGCTTGCTAGCCTGCTCCCTAAAATATCACTGGTTAGCTCATTTCTATATATAGGGTCCCTACATTTTGCATGGACTGGTTACAGTGGTACCTCTGGTTACGAACTTAATTCGTTCCGCAAGTCCGTTCCTAACCTGAAACCATTCTGAACCTGAGGTACCACTTTAGCTAATGGGGCCTCCTGCTGCTGCCATGCCACCGGAGCACGATTTCTGTTCTCATCCTGAAGCAAAGTTATTAACCCGAGGTACTACTTCTGGGTTAGCAGAGTCTGCAACCTGAAGTGTTTGTAACCCGAGGTACCACTGTATTTTGTTATGTGCACATGGCCACATGGCTTTAGAAACCTATTAGGTCCATAAATTTTGTTGTTGTTTAGTCGTTTAGTCGTGTCCGACTCTTCGTGACCCCATGGACCAGAGCACGCCAGGCACCTCTGTCCTCCACTACTTCCCGCAGTTTGGTCAGACTCATGTTGGTAACCTCGAAAACACTATCCAACCATCTCGTCCTCTGTCGCCCCCTTCTCCTTGTGCCCTCCATCTTTCCCAGCATCAGTGTCTTCTCCAGGGAGTCTTCTCTTCTCATGAGGTGGCCAAAGTACTGGAGCCTCAACTTCACGATCTGTCCTTCCAGTGAGCACTCAGGGCTGATTTCCTTCAGAATGGATGCGTTTGATCTTCTTGCAGTCCATGGGACTCTCAAGAGTCTTCTCCAGCACCATAATTCAAAAGCATCAATTCTTCGGCGATCAGCCTTCTTTATGGTCCAGCTCTCACTTCCATACATCACTACTGGGAAAACCATGGCTTTAACTATACGGACCTTTGTTGGCAAGGTGACGTCTCTACTTCTCAAGATGCTGTCTAGGCCTGTCATTGCCCTTCTCCCAAGAAGGAGGCGTCTTTTAATTTCGTGGCTGCTGTCACCATCTGCAGTGATCATGGAGCCCAAAAAGTAAAATATCTCACTGCCTCCATTTCTTCCCCTTCTATTTGCCAGGAGGTGATGGGACCAGTGGCCATGATCTTCGTTTTTTTGATGTTGAGCTGCAGACCATATTTTGCGCTCTCCTCTTTCACCCTCATTAAAAGGTTCTTTAATTAATTCATAAATTACCATATAGCATATATTCAACCCAAAAAAAACAGCGACAATTTGTTGTTGACAAAGGACAGCTGGACATATAAAGGGCCCCATTACCTTCAGTAGCTTAGGGCCTCATCAAACCTAAATCCAGCCCTGTCCCTAAGCTATTTGACCCCATCAACACCTAGCTGTATCTTTCTCACTAAACTTTGTACATAATTGTCTATTTTATTATTTAACATTACTTTTAATATATTAGTGGCCCCGCAGTGATTTTAGCTTATAAATTTTATTGTCTAATGTTTCAATTTGTATATTAAGGAGTTTCTATAGCGTTGTGCAGATTAGGTCATGTTTTGACCATGTGAATGTTTTAAGTTTTTGGTATCAAACTAGTATATATTTTATGGAATGACATTGTATACATTGCAGCAGCCTTTGGCTATAAGCAATAAACTTGAGTGACTGACAGATTGTCCCTAAGCAGACACCGTAAGGGAGGTGGGACTGTGGACACCCAAGAAGAGAAGGGGTGTGTGTGAGGAGATTACTCAGAGCAACACCATTATCCAAGAGACGGCATTTCTACGTTTCTCTCTGTGAATATTGAATAAAAGACCTTGGTAAGAGCTTCTTGTCTTTCCATTACTGGCAGCCTGCCATGGGGATCGGATTCCCTGAAGTCTGACATTGTCTAAGCCCGAGCATGACGTGGTTGAACAAGCAGGTTGCGATGGTGGCGGTGGGGTCAGGATACAAGAGGGGGGGCTTTGTATCCATGGCAGATGGTTACCTGTGCAGATCTTTCATGCCTGGTGTGCAAACACAAGGTGAAAAACCACAGTGCGTCCTTGCTTTATAGTCTGTCCATAGCTGCTGGTTGCAGTGACTATGTCCCACCTCCATAGTTGGAGGCCGTAAGTCCCTGAATGACACTTTTTGGGAATACCAACTGGTGAGGATGGTACTGCACTCAGACCCTTCTTGTGGGTTCCCCATAGCAGGAGGAGGAGGAGCTTGGATTTGATATACCACTATATCACTACCCGAAGGAGTCTCAAAGTGGCTAACATTCTCCTTTCCCTTCCTCCCCCACAACAAACACTCTGTGGGGCTGAGAGACTTCAGAGAAGTGTGACTGGCCCAAGGTCACCCAGCAGCTGCATGTGGAGGAGCGGAGACGCGAACCCGGTTCACCAGATTACAAGTCTACCACTCTTAACCACTATACCACACTGGCTCTGGTGGCATCTGGTTGACCACCATGAGAACAGAATGTTGGACTAGATGGGACTTTGGTCTGCTCCATCAGGTCTCGTCTTACAGGTGGAGTACAGGATCAGGTTTAAGGTGCTGGTTTTAACCTTTAAAGCCCCATGCAGTCTAGGACCCTCATAGCTACAGGACCGCCTCTCCTGGTATGTCCCACGGAGGACCTTACGGCCCTCAAACAAAAACATCTTGGAGGTCATGGGCCACAGGGAGGTTAGGCTGGCCTTAACCAGAGCCAGAGCTTTTTCGGCTGTGGCTCCGATCTGGTGGAAAGCTCTGTCACAAGAGACTAGGGCCCTTTGGGACTTGACATCTTTCCGCAGGGCCTGCAAGACAGAGTTGTTCCACCAGGCCTTTGGCCAAGGCACAGTCTGACCCCCTCCTTCTGTAATCCTCACAGAACTCTAGCCCAACGGTTGCCATCGATTTGATTTGAACTGCTTTTATAATGAATTGGTTTTAGAATGCTGAATTTTTTTACTGTTGTTAGCCGCCCTGAGCCCGGCTTCGGCTGGGGAGGGCGGGATATAAATAAAATGTTGTTGTTGTTGTTGTTGTTGTTGCTGCTGCTGCTGTTGTTGTTGTTGTTGTCAATTCCTGCACCAGCCCAGATACTAGACTCCTTTCCACTCCTTTCCTATGAATAAGCCATGGCTCATAGAATAGCAGGGATTGTAAAATGTAGAGTAGGGATTTGCTGTGGGTGTGGACTCATCATTCGTGTCTCCCAATCATGGAAATTTGCTGTCAGTCGCACCTGCATTTTATTTCCATGTAACCACCCACCTTCCTCTACTTCTCCCAAAGGTGTGTCTCTCCTCCCCTCCCACTTCCATTGGATGCTCCCCGAAACCTCAACAGGAATAAAGGCTTCATTCTAGAACGCCTCTCTTCTCTGAAGCCCTACTTGAAAGAGTCCTTGTTGCAGAAGAGCTGAGCTGGGCGCTTTTCTCCTCTTAGGCTCCTCGCCATTTCCATAGGCACATTCCTCGCCGCCTCTCCATCATCTCCTCCTCTCTCTTTCCCTCTTGTGACATTTATCAAGATGAACAAGTACCTTCTCCTGGGATTTTCCGTTCTGATCTTCTGCTCAGTTGGTAAGTGCCAGCTTTTGCAAGAAAGGAGGGCAGTGTGTGTGTGTGTGTGTGTGTGTGTGTGTGTGTGTGTGTGTGTGTGTTTCCTGGAAACATTTGTGCTAATAATAGTGAACAGAAAGGGATTGTGTAAAAAAAAGATGGATAGGGAGATGATAGATAGATGATTGATAGATAACAGATGATGATGATGATAGATAGATGATAGATAGATAGATAGATGATAGATGATAGATGATAGATGATAGATGATAGATAGATAGATAGATAGATGATAGATAGATAGATAGATAGATAGATAGATAGATGATAGATAGATAGATGTCAGGTTACAGTGGTACCTCAGGTTAAGTACTTAATTCGTTCCGGAGGTCTGTACTTAACCTGAAACTGTTCTTAACCTGAAGCCCCACTTTAGCCAATGGGGCCTCCTGCTGCTGCCGCACCGCCGGAGCACGATTTCTGTTCTCATCCTGAAGCAAAGTTCTTAACCTGAAGCACTATTTCTGGGTTAGCGGAGCCTGTAATCTGAAGCGTATGTAACCAGAGGTACCACTGTAGTCAATTAAGTTTTAAGAAAAGAGGGAGAATGGGTGGCATTTTATCTCCCTCATTTCGTCTACACTCCAGGAGTTCACCTGGAGAGAATAATCTGTCTGTAGCTGGCTCAGGTTTGCCATTCTGGCCCATGTGGTGTTGGTGGTTCAGCAGCACATGTTCTGCCAGTTATAGTGTGTGCAGGGGTTAGGGAAAGGAGAGAAGGTCATCTCAGAGAGCATTTAAATGCAAAACTACTTAATTTGCACCTTCCGAAACAACTCACCTGTGTGAATTTTGCAATGCAGTCCTCCAAGCAATAATGCATACAACAATGTGTGCATTAGGATAATGTGTGCACAACATGCGTCTATTTGTGCAAATAACACAGAGAAAGACATTGTATTAGCGGGAGTGACCTGCGGGAATGTTTTTGTGAGGACGCTTAAAAAATGCTAAAGTGGAAATGTGTTTAGCTGAATCGAATTGGAAAGATGACATGCTGACAGAAACTGAAATCAACCGATTCACCTTTTACTAGTGGGAGTACATAGGGGTGGAGCCAACCAAATCATATTCAGAGGAGACCCTCGATTAGATATGTTAGTTATGTCCATTAATTTCAATGTGTCTACTCTGGGTAAGACTAACACTGGCTGCCTCCCTTTTTTAAAAAAAAGCAAATCTAAAGGATTGTGAATGGAAAAGTGAGCCAGGCATTAACTTGTGTTCATGTTAAGTTTGAAATTTTGAATAAGGATACTTTTTCGCCCCCTTGTGAGTGTTGCTGGAGGTTTATCGTTTTCTGTTTACGACAGGTCTAGTGGTGGCTCTTTTGAGTCAAGCAAGCCAGCAAGGAAACAAAAACTGTTACTACTACTCCATGGACCACATATGTCTGCTTAGCAAGGCAGGAGATATGTTCATGATTAACTTTTGATAAGGCAATCATCTTAATGATTATTCTGCATTGCTTTTAATAGTGTTTTGTCATTTATTTTGTGTGTGTGTGATCTATATACATGAGCGCATGCACATAGAGAGCTGTAGAAGGCCATTATATTTTATGAGAAGTGACATATACAGTGGTACCTCTGGTTACGAACCTAATTCGTTCCGGAGGTCCGTTCTTAACCTGAAACTGTTCTTAACCTGAGGTACCACTTTAGCTAATGGGGCCTCCCGCTGCCGCCACGCGATTTCTGTTCTCATCCTGAGGTAAAGTTCTTAACCTGAGGTACTATTCCTGGGTTGGCAGAGCCTGTAACCTGAAGCGCCTGTAACCCGAGGTACCACTGTAGTTACTTTTAATAAATCAAGCAATGTTCCAGAGACAACCTCCCCCTTCCCTGATTTTAACACCTTTGTGAAATGTCTCATGGAACCACTGCATTTTTAAAGGACTGCCTGGGCTTCTTGGGAGAGGAACAGGACTCTGTACAGGTGTGCCTAAGGCGTCGCTCCTCCTCAACATATCCAGGCACCACTAACAATCTCGGAAATCTCTCCAAGATGCTTACATCTCCACACCTTCCATTACTCCTCACCCCTTTCTGCCATCTTTCCATCTATTTCTCAGCTGAGCACATCCAGCCCACAATGGAGGAGCTAGGATTTTCACAGCGTTCACATTTCAGCTCCAGGTACACCAGTTATCGCCCTTCATCTCAACATTAACCCAGTCATCTGCCATATTCCATAATGGAAAATAAATGCACTAACCATAATATCCAGTGCTGCCTGCTGGAGAAATCTGTTTGGGTGTGGAATCTTCATTGCTTTGGAGCTTTGAAGAACTCAGAAAACAATCCATTTAACCACAGGTGCATCATTCATTTAGGAAAGGGGAGTGTTGGTAATTGTGCTAGGGAGGGGTGAATGACTCAGCCACTGAAAAACAGAGTCTTATAAAAAGGTGTCTCACGAGTGCCTTGCCCTCTGTAAAAGAAGGAAGCCCAGTCTGGAGGAGAAAAGAAGATGAGGAGCATGAAAGCCAATCAAAATTCCTGGCATCTCCAAATTATGGCTGCAGCCACACCTCAAACTGCCCACTATGGTCCTCAAAAACTTTCCCCAGAAGGACTGAAAAAGTTCCCCCACCCCTGTTCCAAACTGCTTGCATAAAACATAGGCCGCATCCATACCATATGTTAAAGACACTCGGATTTCCCCACATGTCCCTGGAAACCGTGGTTTGCTAAGGATGCTGGGGATTGTAGTTCTGTGAGGGGTAAACTGTGGTTTACAGGATCCTTTGGAGGAAGCCACTTTAAAAGTGCTTTCAGTGTATTACATGGATGCGATCAAAGAACTATTGAGCTGGGAACAGTGGTACTTCGGGTTAAGAACTTAATTCGTTCTGGAGGTCCTTTCTTAACCTGAAACTGTTCTTAACCTTTAGCTAATGGGGCCTCCTGCTGCTGTCATGCAATTTCTGTTCTCATCCTGAGGTAAAGTTCTTAACCCGAGGTACTATTTCTGGGTTAGCGGAGTCTGTAACCTGAAGCGCCTGTAACCCAAGGTACCACTGTATTTAGAATGAAAGAAGATACTAGTTGTAATAACACTTCAACACGGAATAATCTGCCTAAAACAGTCTATTTAGCCCCTTCCACCCCTGCACAGAAATGATGCAGTCCCTATTGGGCAGTGCCTATGATAACATGGATCCTCTTTTTTCAATTGACTTGTAATTTTAAAAGGTTATCGTAACCATTTGACAAAAGATCTACAATATTGTGGAATAAAGGGCAGGAGAGGAGGATGTTTAGACACAGTTCTGCACATCAGACTTTATTTTGGAAAACCCAAGATTACCTCTCTTTTCAGTAATCAAAATATTGCAGGTTACAGGTAGGTAGCCATGTTGGTCTGCCGTAGTCGAAACAAAATAAAAAAAATCCTTCCGGTAGCACCTTAGAGACCAACTAAATTTGTTATTGCTCATATTAATAACAAACTTAGTTGGTCTCTAAGGTGCTACTGGAAGGAATTTTTTTATTTTGTTTCAAAATATTGCAGTTCAGTGAGTGAAATTACCCGTATTAGGAACTGGTCACGGATCTGGTCTCCTCAACTCCATTTTATGTATTTTCACGAGTGGTCAATGTGGTGCCCTCTAGTTGTTGTCGGACCTAAAATTTATATTGGCTCCAGCATGGTCAATGGCCATGGATTATGGGAGTTCTAGCCCAACAACAGCTAGAGGGAACTCCCTTTTTCCAGAACATAATACAGTGGTACCTCGGGTTACAGACGCTTCAGGTTGCAGACACTTCAGGTTACAACTCCACTAACCCAGAAATAATACCTCAGGTTAAGAACTTTACCTCAGGATGAGAACAGAAATTGCATGCTGGTGGCGCAGCAGCAGCGGGAGGCCCCATTAGCTGAAGTGGCACCTCAGGTTAAGAACAGTTCCAGGTTAAGAACGGACCTCCAGAACGAATTAAGTTTTTAACCCAAGGTACCACTGTACCTACAAGGAATTGACCCAGGGTGGATTACTATAGGTGTGCTACTGATTGATAGATGAGGACTTTTTGTGGATTGGGCGTACTTGCCTCTTGGTTCCCTATTTCACGTCTCACTGCATGACGTGAATGTTTGACAGGTTTCTGGTACATGTAACTGCGATGGGAAGCATCCACGCTCCAAGCTGGGCAGGGAAATGAAGCCTTCTGCTTTAGGAACAGAAGAACTGGATAAGGCCCAAAGCCCATCTAGCCTAGCATCCTTCTCTCACGATCTCCAACCAGATGCCCGTGGAAAGTCTTGCAAGCAACAGCACACACCTCACTTGCGATTCCCAGCCACTGGCTTTTTGAAGCATAGTGCCTCTCACACTATGAAGGGGGCGGTTGCTGCTGCTTTTAATTAATCTTCTGTTGGGAAAGAGAGCACAATGTTTCCACAGGACCTGCTTCAAAGCTGGAGAGAGTCGCTTAAGCAAATTAGCAAAATGCCACTCACCAGAGTGTTCTTGTCCCAGTTCCAGCTTGCTGTTATTTCTACCATGCGTGTTAATCCCAGCAATGATTCATGTGCTATCCTAGAGCATTCTCAGTGGTGTTAATTAAACTCTCTCACAAACGTGTGACTATTCTTTTGGGACGTCCTGGGCTACCTCTTTCTTTTAAAACTTCATTATTATTATTGTTTAGGGAGAGGCCAGTCTCAGCGTTTAACTTTTTTATTTATGTTGAGTTCTTAGCATTTTGCCTTTGACTTGTCTTAGGTTAACAGAAAATAATAGAAATATTTAGAAAATCAACTTTGTGTTTAGTTTTTAAGAAATATTTTGTATTGATTTTTTAATTTCAGGTAACTTTTATTTTAATCAAAAGATATAAACACAGCACAAAGAGATACTAAAACAGACTGCAGACTGTAAATGAAGTTGTTTGTTTACAAGATTTATAACCCACCCAACTTTCCAAGTTGCTCAAAGCTACATAGGCATTACTCCGAACCCTCCTTAAGCTCATAGAGATCACAGAATTGTAGAGTTAGAAGGGACCTTGAGGATCATCTAGTCCAGCCTTTCTCAACCTGTGGGTCCCCAGATGTTGTTGAACTACAACTCCCATCACCCCTAGCTAGCAAGGCCAGAGCTCAGGGATGATGGGAGTTGTAGTCCAACAACATCTGGGGACCCACAGGTGGAGAACCACTGATTCTAGTCCAACCCCCTGCAATGCAGGAATATGTAGCTCTCCTTTTCTGCTAGGAGGGTGAACAAGGTTCAAAGTCCCACTCAAAGATTCAGGAATGAATTGCAGGGGTAGGAAAAAGTATGAGGGTTACCCAGCTACATCATACTCAAGAGCAGACCCACCTAAACGAATGAACATGAATTACTTAGGTGCATGGATTTTAACGGATCTGCCCTGAATATGAGCGGTGTTAAAATATCACCCAGTGCATTTTAAGAGTTCATTGTGGCTGCTTTTTAAAATATACCTCGCTATAATCACAGCTGTGTTATCAACACAGGGCAAACAGGCATCCTTTTGCAGCGAAGATTTATGAGCTTCCTGCGGTTTCCTCCCCTAAAACCGAAACCACGGCACGTCTATCTCTTCTTTTTTCAGCACAAGGTCTGATGTGCAAAGTTTGTAAATTCAAAGTCGGCGACCTCTGCTTTGATTCCGATGAACCCTGCAAAGCCGATGAGGGCCAGTACTGCGAAACAACCAAAGTGTATACAGGTGAGACTGGGAAAGAGAAATTCCTCTGGTGTTTGAGCATACAATACATAGAATTGTAGTTAGAAGGGAACCCCAAAGGTCATCTAATCCAACCCCTGCAACGCAGCCACCCCAGCTAATCCCAGCCTCCCATCCTCCTTCCACAACCTGGAACGGTCCAGGTCAGCCTTATGCTGGCCGGGGCTCATGTGAGTTGTAGTCCAACACTTCTGGTCAAGGCAGTGCTGGGATATATCAGTTGTGCAGTGGTGAGTAATGACCCCCTCCCCAAAGGAAAGGGTGCACCACTCAGATCTCTCCAAATATCTCTGTAACACAGGATTGGATTTCATAAAATCATAGCCTTGTAGAGTTGGAAGGGACCGATGAGAGTTCATCTCATCCAACCCCCCCCTGCAATCCAGGAATCTTTTGCCAAACGTGGGGATTGAACCCACGAGCCTGAGATTAAGAGACTCATGCTGTACAAACTGAGCCACTTCTGGATTTTATTTTATTTTAAATAAACCCAAATCATTCGAGACCTGCCGGACCAAACCAAAGGCCCATCGAGCCAACCATCTGATTCTCACAATAGTCAGCCTCGTGCCACTCTTGACCCCGCCCCCCACAAGTAGGAGATGATTGCACTAGCACGCTCCTGCTTGTGATAATTCGGAGGCACGTTGCCTTCTGGCAGAGCATTCTTCCTTCTGCAGATGTCTCCTGCATTCAAATTGCTCCCTCCAAATGGAGCATTCCCCCCCCCTTCAGAAAAAGTGCTGTGGATTCAAACAGTTCCCTCTGAATGGACTTCAAAGGGGTTCCCGGCAACTACCAATCAAAGTCCAGAGGAGGCTGGCAGTAGCCGCCACTCAGCTGATCGGCAGTTACGGCAAAGCTGTTTGAAGGTGCCCTTCCAGTAGCAATCAGCTGCTTGGTGCTGAAAGTGCCTCTTCAAAGGAGCTTTCCTTCCTTCACATCTGTTTGGGGAAGTTTTAAATGTTTGATGTTTTGTAGCTTTATTGTTATTATTATTAATATTCTGCCAGAAACCGCCCAGAGTGGCGGGGAAACGCAGCCAGATGGGTGGGGTATAAATGATAAATCATCATCATCATCACACAACTCTTCCTCCTCTCCCACCAGGTAGAATAAAGCTCTTCACCAAACACGGCTGTGGCAAGTACTCAGAGCTCTGCAACAAGACGGAGCAGAGGGACAACGTCTTTGACATGAACTATAACCGCACGTGCTGCAACTACGACTTGTGCAATGGAGCAGCCATGACCAACCCCAGTCTCCCATTCTTCGCTGGCCTCAGCTTGGCCCTGGGGTGGTGGCTGGCCCACTAAGATCGAGGAGTAGCAGTGATGTTCTTCCCACTAACAGACCCTCTGCATCACCTCGACCTCCTTCGAGCCTGCGGCGTGTGCCCATGTGCCAAAATTTCCCTAGCATGTGCGGATTTCAAATCTTCCCACCTCGTTCACTGCCTCTCCTGTAGGCTTGGTTAACTTGTGGACCCTCCAAGCCCAATGCAACCTGCCTGCCATCAGCAATGGTCCACCAGAGGACCACCAGCAATGGTCCATCAGTCCACCAGTCTCCTCTTCCCTCTACTCTACCTGGGGAGCTTTGACAAGCATAGCTGGTGGGTTGTGCTTGGCTTGTTGGGTCACAGGAATGTTAGGCCTTGCCTACTCTGTGTATCAGGGTTGGGAAAACTTTTTCCAGACTGGGCACCATATTCCCTTCTGGAGGCCACATGGCAGTGGTGGGCGGGGCCAGAGGCAAAAGTGGGAGGAGCAACGGGTGCAATTCCTACCCTCCTTTGTACAGTAGGATCGTTTATGGACACACTCGCACACCCCTCCACACCCTCTGCTGACTGGAATGTGCCTTCACACTCTTGCTTGCCCAAAGGGAAGATAGTGTTAGTTTCTGTTTCTCACTGTGCAGCAGTGCTTCTCTATGGAAGCAGAGAGCAACTGAACAAAGGAACAAAGGAAACAGGAAACCAGTAACATCACATCCGTCTCTAGTCTCCCGTGAGACTGCCAATAGCCTGGACTGTCTGTGGAATGTAAGCACAGTCCTGGGACTTGCAGCAGCTGCACAGTGAGAAACAAAAACTGACATCAACCATCCTCTGCTACCACTTGTTGGAAAAATGCCCCCGGGAAGGGTGCCAACTTCCCAAGACCCGGGCTTCTCTCCGGTGGTCACTCTCTGGCTAGAATCATCCCTCAGTCCAGAAAGACCCCTCCGTCCTGAGAGGAGCACACTAATCTTCTGGCATCCCATCACAGAAGAAAGAGACAGTCCGTAGTCTACTCACTACTTTATTAAGACTTACAAGCATGACTGCTCTCCAGAGCAGCAAACACAAGAGTCTCCGACTCGACTCACACTTCGGCTCAGAAGCGAAAGTAACTCTCCGGTTACATGAGAACTGGCAGAGACTTCCTGTCTCACGCTCAGAGACATCACATGATGTCAACACTGTAGCTGCTCTTCGCAGCTGGTGAGATATGTAATCCCAACATATAGAGAGAGGTGGTGGAGTGTGTGTGTCCTGGGGAGAGGGGCTGTGGCCTAGGGAGATCTTGTAATTTCTCCATCCATCATCCACCTACCAAGCAGCTTTTGAAAATCCAAAACCAGGTGATTTAGGCTGTACCCGTGAACTCTTCTCTGCTTTGTTCAAACTGATGATGAAAGTAAACCCAAGCAGAAAGGCCTGCATGCCTTGCTCCGTGTTTTCATTAAGCCTAAGTAGGTGCAACGCAGACCGCAGGACGTGGCTTCCTTATTCACCCCTGCCCCCTCTCCTCCACACCCTGTTTTGTTTCCCCTTCATCAGATTTTTAAAATTGTGAGCTCCTTAGGGGCAGAGCGGGTTTTGCGCTATGGAAAGCACATTGTAGACTGGTGGCGCCAGGTAAATAAAAATAAAATAAAATAAAAATAAAACTCATGTACTTAACACATGGCCTACATGCCAAAGAAGACAGGGACAGCTGCCTCTTAACAGGCGTTGCTCAGGAATTCTAAGAAACCCCCAAACCAGTGCAGTTTTGAAATTGGTGGTTAAAACACGGAACCTGCTCCTTGGTCTCAGGAACCACCATGCAAAATTTCTGAACAGCCCAGTCCACCATCTTGACTCAAAATAGCATCTGACTGTGTCCAGAACGTAGACCTTCTCCTTGATCTCTGGAGTCACGCTGCAAAATTTGGTTAAGCTTTCTTAAGAGCAGAGGCGTGCCTAGCCTCCGCCATCTTGATTCAAAATGGCGGCCGGCATCCAAACAGCTATTGCAAACACCACCCCTCACCTCAGGAACCCTCACGCCAAGTTTGATAACATTATCTCTAGAGGTGGCTGAACCTATAGGCAGCAGACGGACAGATTGACAAACTGCTTTCCAAAATATATAATAGTGATAAATATATATATGATGGTATGTATGTGTGGGGACGCGGGTGGCGCTGTGGGTTAAACCTCAGCGCCTAGGACTTGCTGATCGCATGGTCGGCGGTTCGAATCCCCGCGGCGGGGTGCGCTCCCGTTGCTCGGTCCCAGCGCCTGCCAACCTAGCAGTTCGAAAGCACCCCCCCGGGTGCAAGTAGATAAATAGGGACCGCTTACTAGCGGGAAGGTAAACGGCGTTTCCGTGTGCGGCTCTGGCTCGCCAGAGCAGCTTTGTCACGCTGGCCACGTGACCCGGAAGTGTCTGCGGACAGCGCTGGCCCCCGGCCTATAGAGTGAGATGAGCGCACAACCCCAGAGTCTGTCAAGACTGGCCCGGTACGGGCAGGGGTACCTTTACCTTTACCTTTATGTATGTGTGGGAAGGAGAATGGTATTCTGTAGACCAAAGGTAGCAATGTGTGTCAGACGATGGCATTGGGTACGTAAGAGCGAAGAATCCCGTTTTTTCCAGGAGACACACAGCGGGGTGGGTGGAGTAAAGACAACTGCAGCCATTGGCAATCCTTTCCACAGTTTAATTTCCGCCACGAGGCAGAGGTAGAGCTTTCCCATTACACTTGTCAGTGTCACAACAAGAATCAATGTGTGTGTATTTTCCATCCTTTTGAACTATGTTGCAGTATTCCCAATATTCATCACTCACACAGCCATAACTCATGAAATAGAGCTCATCATCTGTGAAGGGAAAGACAATAATATGACCAAGGAGAAAAACGAGTGACGTCATGGTCAGCTGAAGGCCAACATACAATTCCATGAACCAGGATGACATAATCCGGAAGGCCACCTTCCATTTCCTTTTCTTTTTATGGATACACCCAGACTAATAATAATAATAATAATAATAATAATAATAATAATAATAATAATACAGTGGTACCTCCAGTTACGAACGGGATCCGTTCCGGAGCTCCAGTCGCATCCCAAGGAACTCACAACCAGAGGTGCCGCTTCTGCGCATGCGCACGGCGCATAGAGCACTTTTGCGCATGCGCATGCAGGGAAACCCGGAAAAATACTTCCGGGTTTGCTGTGTACGTATCCCACAGGATACGTAAGTAGAGGGGAATGTAAGTGGAGGTACCACTGAAATAATAATAATAATGCTACTACTTGTAAGGTAAAGGACCTCTGGACTGTTAAGTCCAGTCAAAGGAGACTATAGGGTTGCAGCACTCATCTCGCTTTCAGGCCAAGGGAGCCGGCATTTGTCCACAGGCAGGTTCTGGGTCATGTGGCCAGCATGACTAAACCGCTACTGGCATAACGGAACACCGTGACAGAAACCATAGGGCACGGAAATGCCATTTACCTTCCCACTGCAGCGGTACCTATTTATCTACTTGCACTGGTGTGCTTTCAAACTGCTTGGTTGGCAGGAGCTAGGACAGCAACAGGAGCTCACCCCGTCGTGGGGATTCGAACGATCGACCTGATCGGCAATCCCAAGAGGCTCGGTGGTTTAGACCACAGTGCCACCTGCGTCCAGGCCCTTTATTATTTGTAAACCATCATCACCCAACAATCTGACTGGGTTACAGCAGCTTCTGGTTTGAATCCACAGCTTTAAGAAGCTGCCTTAGGCAGAGTCAGACTGTGGGCCTATCCACCTCAGGGCCGCTTACCCTGACTAGCAGGGACCCTCTGGGATTCCTGGCTGAGTCCGTTCCCACCCCTGTCTGGAGATGCTGGGAACAGGGCGCTTTACCGCTGAGCTGCGGCCCATCACCAGGTCTTACCAAGGTAGCTGGTGTACGTGAAACACTTTCCAAAGCGAGTCTTGCACGTTTCTTCTGTCGAATAGCAGGCCTTGCCATTTCCGGAATGACAGAGCTTACACACGAGGCCTTGGGCTGAGGTTGAAAAGAAGTTGTTGAAAGTGAGGGCTTGGAGATGGTCCTTTCTCGTGTGGGAACGAGGGTGAAAAACAGGAGAAGGGGTGGACGGGGATAATCTGGGAGCAGCCGTGTGTGGCTCTGAGCGCCGTGAGCCAAGGAACCGCCTGCCCTCCTCCCTCTTTGAAAACTGGGATGCATTCATGGTTCCCCACCCTTTGGGAACCTTAAGGATGGATTCTTGTAACCAGGGATGCTTAAGGAACAAGCACCACCTTCAGCCTGAAGCTGGTACTTCTAGGTCACCAAAATGGAAGTGCCAGTTGCAGGTGCAGTGCTGCACACAAGTGGAGTGGACTTTGACTCACACAACAAGGCTTGCCTTTCCTTGCCCTCCGTCCCAAGTCTGCCCCGGATGCTTGGAGGACACCCCAGGGGAGATGAGAGCCAGCGGCACAGGGGCCTGCAAGGGAGAGGAGAGGAAGGGGAAAACCTGTTCTGTGAGCAGGAGTCTCTCCATGGAATGAATTTGTTCATGCACTGAACCTCATCCGTTCCGTTTACGGGACATATAATGCATACAAATACAAAGAGTATGTGTTTGTTTGGCTAACAGCCATTATGAAAGATAAAAACACATAAAGCAGAATGAAATCTGTCGCACAGTTTAGGTCATTATTAAGATGAGACATCCTGTCAGACGAGAGTTTGCTTCCCTTAGCATCCCCACAATTTTTTATCCTTGAAATGGCTGCTCTAAGAGCAAAGCAGGTCACTTTTTCCAGAGGTGTAGGTCAGAATATATAATACATACGTAGGTACAGAATCAGAACTTTTTCCAGTTCTGCACCTTCAAGGGAAAAAGGCTCACAAAGCACTTGGAAACTCATGCATACCTCTGCTTATTTTCTCTGTAGACCTCTGCCCCCTCCCTCCCTCCCTCCCTCTCTCTCTCTCTCTCACACACACACACACACATACACTCACTCACCAGGAGAGCAGAAGAGCAACATAGAGGCCCCAAGGAGGAGAATCTGATTCATCCTGAATGATGTACACAGCCTCCCAAGTGAATATCAAGAATGAAAAGGGAGCCGTGGAATATTAGGAAGATCTGGAGTTCTTTGGCTTACCAGTTTGTGCCCTCTGAGCGTCTGGAAACAGCCAGTGAGGTCCGGGGCAAAGGTGTGCTGTGCAAATGTTTTCTTTTGGGCAGAAATGCTGGCAGACACTGTTGCTAAACGGTGCCAGTTAACTGGTCTGGACAAAGTTTCCACCTCTATCAACTTGGCGTAAGTCCATTCTGTCCTGTATCTGCATTAATCTGCAAAATGTGTATCCATCTATCTCAATCCTACTCTCTGGAGCAGCAGAAAACAAGCTTGCTCCATGATCCATCTCCCATGAGACGGCCCTTCAGATATCATATCAGCTCTCAGTCTTCTCTTCTCCAGGTGAAACAAGATTTTACACACCTCCTCCTGCATTGCAGGTGGTTGGACTAGATGACCGCCAGGGTCCCTTCCAACTCCACAATTGTATGATTCCTTGATTCTCCAGTCTCCACAGCAGAACAAGATTCCAGGAGTTGCGTGTCAAGGTCCCCCAAGCTACCCCTAAATAATTCACAATTCACACATAATTTTTGTTTAAGGTTTTTGGCATAATTTTGGCCACAACTTTATTAAAATACATAAATGTGAGTGGTTGCTTAGGCATTGGTTATGACTATCTGTCCCCACGCCCAGGGACAGAACTGACTTCCGGATTCCAGCGAAAGCCAGTGAGGGAAAACAATATTGGGGAGAGCATGGAGCTGGGCACCAGACCCTCATCCCGCCCCCCGCCCCCCGCATGCTCCCCATTCAGGGGTATGAATGAAAGAATGGCAAGCCCCTGGATTCCTTTAATGGAATTCCCTTGCAGCAGCAGCATTGGAGGGGCAGGCACCGCCAATCCTTACCCCTCCACCAACCAATTTTTTAACCAATGCCTAACTGCAACCTTACAAGTTGTGACGATTTGCTACGCAGTAGGCAAAACCAAATGGCACCAGCCAATCAGCCAGATGGACAAAATTCCTACCGGGCACCTGCCCCAAAAGCAGACGACCCCATGACAGGCATAGCAAGGTCAACGCAATAGCCCTAGATTAGGGAGGGTGGGCGGGTGATCCGATGCACGCAGCAAAAGAGCCCAGTCAGTGCTGTGTGACTTGATTTTATAACCTTTGGTCCGTCCCCCTAAATGGCAACACCAAAATTTGCCCAGTAACCCAACCGCCCAATCACTGCGGATGGTCATCCATACTAACCCGCCCAGCAACAGAGGGGTGGCCTGTTCAGACCCTACCTCAACATGTGCTCTCTATGAAGGAGAACATGCTTTGCAGCCCCGCTTTACACACCAGGGTCTCTGTTTCCTTTGGGAAATGAGGCATAGCAGAGACTGTGGTGTCTTTATGATATATGGTTTGTTTATTTACACATATATACAGCCTGAGTCTACAGAAGGGTCCTCAGCATTCATACCCCAAGAGTTTCTGGCTTCTCCTATAGCCACAGCAGCCATGGACCTAAACAGTCCCTGCCTGTTGGGCTCTCAGACGTTGCTCTCTCCTCCTCTCTCCAAGCCACCACTTCCTAACTCTGTTGCTTAACTTCTGATTTGTTGTTGTTGTTGTTTAGTCATTTAGTCGTGTCCGACTCTTCGTGACCCCATGGACCAGAGCACGCCAGGCACTTCTGTCTTTCACTGCCTCCCACAGTTTGGTCAAACTCATGCTGGTAGCTTCGAAGACACTATCCAACCATCTCGTCCTCTGTCGTCCCCTTCTCATTGTGCCCTCCATCTTTCCCAACATCAGGGTCTTTTCCAGGGAGTCTTCTCTTCTCATGAGGTGGCCAAGCCTCAGCTTCACGACCTGTCCTTCCAGTGAGCACTCAGGGCTGATTTCCTTCAGAATGGAGAGGTTTGATCTTCTTGCAGTCCATGGGACTCTCAAGAGTCTCCTCCAGCACCAGAATTCAAAAGTATCAATTCTTCGGCGATCAGCCTTCTTTATGGTCCAGCTCTCACTTCCATACATCACTACTGGGAACACCATAGCTTTTACTATACTTATCTGATACTTCTGATACTCTGCACTAAACCTCTGCCCACATTATATTCTCCCTCTCGATTCTAAACCCCAGACAGAGACTCTGCTCCCTTTGACTAGGGTTGCCATATTTTTTTTGACCAAAATTGTTCAGCTTTTTTGGGGGGGCAGGGGGCCAAAGTTGTTGAGCGTCTTAAAGTTTGGCCCCAAATTGTTGAGCTCTGAGTTTTTGAACTATTTTTAATTACATCCGGCAAATTCTACACTACCATCATGGGCTGCCCAACACCTGGATTTCCCCAGACCTCTGACGCTCTGGTTGTGTTAACAACCCATAACCCCAGGCTAACACCTCCAATGAAATTAGTCCAAGTTTCTTAGCACCAGCCTTGATTAGCGCTTATCCCATGCAAATTCCAGAGGGATTAGAAGCAGCAGGTCAAATACACACATGGCTCTGACCTTCCTAACACACAAGCTCCAATTAAATTCTAACTTTTACAGAGCCCAGGTGTTCAGCACCTGCAAACCTGTAATAATACACAACTCCCTCAACTGTTTCTTGTGAGGAACTGTAGCCCGTTCTCTCTGTAGTCCCCTGAGCACATGCTCTCACAGACATTTTTTTTTGCCAGGAGAGCAGAAGAGCAGCATGGAGACCCCAAGGAAAAGAATCTGATTCATCCTCAATAATGCAAACAGTCTCCCAAGCAGATATTAAGAATGAATCAGGGCTGCAGAATCCTAGACAGATTGGGAGCTCTTTTGCTTACCGTATTTCCCCCTCTATAACACGCAGATTTTTTCTCCTAAAAAGTAAGGGGAAATGTCTATGCGTGTTATTGAGCGAATGTGTGGTCCCTGGAGCCGACTGGCCCGAGTGCATCACACATTTTCTTCGAGGGTCATCTTCGTTGCGGTCAGCAGAAGCCAGGGAAGTGCTTGCTAGGAGGTTTGGCCACTCTGATCGCTTGATGACACCAAACTGGGAGGGGTGGCTAACACCCCAGAGGACTGGATCACACTTCAAAATGACCTTGACAGATTAGAGAACTGGGCCAAAACAAACAAGATGAACTTTAACAGGGAGAAATGTAAAGTATTGCACTTGGGCAAAAAAAATGAGAGGCACAAATACAAGATGGGGGACACCTGGCTTGAGAGCAGTACATGTGAAAAGGATCTAGGAGTCTTGGTTGACCACAAACTTGACATGAACCAACAGTGTGAAGCCAATGCAATTCTGGGCTGCATCAATAGGAGTATAGCATCTAGATCAAGGGAAGTAATAGTGCCACTGTATTCTGCTCTGGTCAGACCTCACCTGGAGTACTGTGTCCAGTTCTGGGCACCACAGTTCAAGAAGGACACTGACAAACTGGAACGTGTCCAGAGGAGGGCAACCAAAATGGTCAAAGGCCTGGAAACGATGCCTTATGAGGAACGGCTAAGGGAGCTGGGCATGTTTAGCCTGGAGAAGAGGAGGTTAAGGGGTGATATATATAAAAAGGATGTCATATAGAGGAGGGAGAAAGGTTGTTTTCTGCTGCTCCAGAGAAGCGGACACGGAGCAACGGATCCAAACTACAAGAAAGAAGATTCCACCTAAACATTAGGAAGAACTTCCTGACAGTAAGAGCTGTTCAACAGTGGAATTTGCTGCCAAGGAGTGTGGTGGAGTCTCCTTCTTTGGAGGTCTTTAAGCAGAGGCTTGACAACCATATGTCAGGAGTGCTCTGATGGTGTTTCCTGCTTGGCAGGGGGTTGGACTCGATGGCCCTTGTGGTCTATTCCAACTCTATGATTCTATGATTGTGTGTGCAGCGTGACTGTGTGTTTGCTAGTGTGTGTGCTTTGTGAGTGTGTGGTTGCCTGTGTGTTTTTTCGCTAGCGTGGGTGCTTGGAGGGAGTGAGAGAGTGACTGACTGCTGCATCTTCTCCTGCAATTTGCCTTTTAAAAAATTGGAAGCAGCGGGGCAGTAAAAACCACCTCAGAAAGCCCCATTTTTCCCTTCTAAGGCTGCAGCTCAGCTTTGGGAGCCCTGGACCCCTGCCTTGTTCTTGAGGGATCTTTGAGGTTTTCCCTTTAGCTTTAACCCAGCCCCCTTATTTTACCAGTTTATCTTCATTCTCGGTGTGGTAAACTGATTGCAGGCAGCCACACGTGCGTTCGAGCCTCCCGAGAGAGAAAGCTGTTGCTTTCCTGCATTCTGCCTCAGGGTCTTACTGCCCACCCTCTTCTGTTTCGTTACTGTGTTTGCTCAAACGGAACAAAGAGCAGAGAAAACCCCTCCCCTCCAGGCAAGCAGAGGGGAAAGCAGAGCGTCCTTCCTTCTAATTCCTCTCCATGCTCTGCTGCTGCTGCTGCGTCTAGGGACTCGCAGGCAACATGCAGGTGGGGGAGGGAGGGAGAGAGAGAGAGAGAGAGAGAGAGAGAGAGAGAGAGAGAGAGCTGGCTGGCTTGGGTGGGTGGGTGGGTGGGCGGGGTAACTTTTGCCTTCCTTTCCTCCCTCCGGTAAAACCCCTCACCTGCATTATTAGCAGCATCCTTCCCCACACACCCCACGAGTGTTCCTTCTTCCCTTAAACCCCTTGCCTGCATTCTTAGCCAGCTGCTTCTCCGCACACCCCTCTCGGTGCTCCTTGTCCCTTCTATGTTTTTCCTTCCCTCCCCACTTAAAACGTGGTTACAAAGCACAGATACACATGGATCCTCAGTATCTTTGCATTGGGTCACCCCAAATTCACCATCAGATCACATAGCATATCCATGGCTACAGCCTGCACCAAAAAAATCACGCACCCACTGTTGCCTGGGGCTGCAATGGTGCAAAAACATGGTTACAAAGCACAGATCCACATGGATTCTCAGGATTTTTGCATTGGGCTACCCCAAACTCACCGTCAAATCACATGTCTGTGGCCACAGCATGAAGCACAAAAATGATACCTCCACTGTTTCATTCAGAATTTTTTTTCTTGTTTTCCTCCTCTAAAACCTATGTGCGTGTTATGGTCAGGTGCGTGTTATCGAGCGAAAAATACTTACTGCGTTCCACGCTCCAAGCCTCTGGGGACAGCCAGTGATGTACACAGGACAAAGGTTTGGTAAATGTTTTCTTTGGGGAGGAAATATTGGCAGACACTCTAACCAAACAGTGTCAGAGAATGCAAAATTTTAGTAGATCTGAACTTTTGCATGTGTTCACCCATAAGTCCACAGCATGAATCTATCTATCTATCTATCTATCTATCTATCTATCTATCTATCATCTATCTATCTATCTCTATCTATCTATCATCTATCTATCTATATCTATCTATCATCTTATCTATCTATCTATTTTTAATGCCAGGGTACAGTCAGAAAGCTGGGTCGATCTGAGTCTGCTTAGTAATTGGGAGATTGCCTGAGAATACGGCCTCGGGTTCAACGGCGGAAGAAAAGTGGGCTACAAAGGCAAGGAAATAAAGAATAAACAAGCACAATCCTCATAGAAATTTGTATTTAATCAGTATTGAAATATGCATTTCCTAGAAAATGTACGCGCCTTTCAATATATGCATTTCTAAACCGTATTGAATACAATTTTTGAACCAAGAAACAGCATCTGGAGATTTGGAAAGTGAAATTGGATACAGATCATCAAGCTCCTATACACATTTGGGTCCAGGGGGTGCATATGCCCCTGGTCGATTCACATCAGGATTTGCAAAGATCAGATTCCACAAACAGCACTAGTTTGAACTACTTTCCCATGGCAGGAAGGGGAAATTAAATTCCCGAATGCTTTTTCACAGGAGGGGGAAAAAATAGCCATAGTGAATTACATATAGCAAACAACCAGGTGCCCAAGAGTAGACAATGGATTGAGAGTCACAGGTCTGGGGGTGAAATATGGACCCCAGACCTCTTTAACTGGCCCTTGGGACTCTCGTCAGGTCACACCCACTGCCCAGCCAGCCCTCCTCTCCCCAGGCCTAGTGCCTTACCAACCTTCCATTGCAAACTCTTTTGAGTGTTTCTGCCTTGCTGGAATGTGCCCTTGAACTTGGACAAGGCTTATTGCTTTCCTGGATGGGGAATTGCAGCACGCATCTCGCTTTATTGGCTGAGGGAGCCGGCGTACAGCTTCCAGGTCATGTGGCCAGCATGACTAAGCCACTTCTGGCGAACCAGAGCTGTTTATCTTCCCGCTGGAGCGGTACCTATTTATCTACTTGCACTTGACGTGCTTTTGAACTGCTAGGTTGGCAGGAGCTGGGACCGAGCAATGGGAGCTCACCACGTTGTGGGGATTCGAACCACTGACCTTCTGATCGGCAAGCCCTAGGCTCTGTGGTTTAACCCACAGTGTCCCAATTGTTGTGGATAGTAGGACAGGATATATTGCTCCTAGTGAGTTAGTAACAGAGCACATTCCCTCTACATCGCAGGAAGCTAGTTGGTAGATTCATTTTAATCTCTTGAGTTAAGCAATCCAGTCTGGCTTGTCCAGATTGGGTTATTCCTGGCAAATCCCCTTTGTTCCGTCCTAAAAAGAATAAAGACACAACAGTCTTCTTTATAAGGAATGATAAGGATTACTTACATCCAGTTCACAGTATGAGCCCTGAAGACAGGCTTTCGCTTGTAGTTACAGAAGAGAGTGAGGGTTCATCCCATATGGGGTTTGAGCCCATGTGCTGCTGGCTGAGAGCCAGCAGACAGCAAAAGACATCCAGAGAACAGCATCAAGAGAAAGAAGGTCAAGAAGAAGGGAAGGTGGCTGAGTGACCAGCCTTTTATGGGGTCTTCTGGGGTCACACGCAGGGGCAGGATGGAGGACACACAGGATGGAGGAACATCCCCCTGTGTGTCCACTCTGGGCAAACAGGGAAATGTTGTACTTGACTGCTACATGTTACATCCCACAGACGTTGCCACGCAGGCACAGTCTCCAGCTGCATGTAGGCGCATAAACTGATGGTAGGGGAGTGGCCCCATGTTGCTGCAACTGCTCCATAGAGCGTGAAACTGGGTAGAGCTGCCTAGATGCTAGATTGCTGTATGCAGGTATACAGGGTTGCAGAAGCGACTGTGTTCACAATAAACGACAACTGCTGTGTGGGTTCCTTTGGAAGTACTCTTGACAAGAGGCTTGTGCGTGCGTGCATGTGTGTGCGTGCTCAGACACCGCTGCGAATGAACGAATGAGTGCTGAAAACAAGATCTTGAATGTTCCTTTGAAGGCGGGGCTCACTGACGGCACTGATCAGCTGATCGGCACTGCCAGAAAGCCCCACTGTGAGTGGCCACAGTAGGGAGTTCCCCATCGGCGTTCCCCATCACTTTCAGTGAGCCCTTTTGAAGTTGCCACGTGATATCATAATGGCATTGGGTGACTGACAGGTGGGTGGCTCCACCTGCCCATCACAAGGGCCTATGAGAGGTTGGAGACCATGAGGGCAGCCCAACTTTCCCTCTTTCTGGTCTTGGAGGAACTCTGCCTTATATATACAGTGGTACCTTGGAAGTCAAACATAATCCATTCCGGAAGCCCGTTCGACTTCCAGAACTTTCAGAAACCAGGGTGCGGCTTCCGATTGGCTGCAGGAAGCTCCTGCAGCCAATCGGAAGCCGCGGAAGTCACGTCAGACGTTCAGGTTCCAAATAACTTTCGAAAACCAGAATAATCACTTCCAGTTTTCGATCGTTCAGGAGCCAAAATGTTTGACTCCCAAGGCGTTTGAAAAGCAAGGTACGACTGTAAAGTGATATGCCTGCAGTTTTTCCACATTCATGCTAACGAATACACCCAAGTCAGTGGCAAAGCTTACCACCTTGATGCTGCCTTCCATATTTTTATTTTTAGGAAGCGTTTGGTGGAGCCGGTCTTTCAAATACATTCTGTTGTATGTGTCTCTTTCTTTTGGAGGACCCTGGCAGCCACCTCCCACCAGCCTCGTTCTACCAACTTGTAGTCAACCCTTCCATATCCATATGTCACTGTGATGAGGTTCTCCCCTTTCCCAGAGATCAGCACAACTTTCTCATTACTGGTCGTAATCAACATTTTGGCATTATCCTGAACGCAACGGGGTTCCTGGGAGAACCGACTAACGGCCTCATCCAGGCAAGACCTTAGCTCCCGCCATTTCTGGAGTCTCAGCCTGTTCTTCACACGCAACAAGTTCTCCAAGCTTAGCGCCTCCACCCCAGTCTGCAAACGCTCCATGACCACATCCCAGTTGTCTACGTGGACTTCATATTTGGCCTCGCCTTGTTTAAAGAAGACCGAAATCTTATAGGTTTCCTGGCCGGAGACGAACCTCACCACCCGCCCACCACATTCCACCAACATCTCAGCATCCTTCTGGATGGTATCGGGCTCCATGCAGAATTTTTCCACTGCTAGGTCAAAGCAGGCCAAAGGGGAAAACCCTTTCCTAAAGGAACCCCAGTTATGTAGATGACCACGGATGCTAAGGATATTGCTAAGGCTGAGAGGCTGCGGATTAGAGCAGAGACGAGCAAAGTAGAGGTCCCAGTTGGGTACCAAGACATTGTAGTGCACTTTGCCTTGATTGTGGAAGACGGTGACTGCGACCGACCCGTCGCCCGAGGTGAACTCCATCAGCGTGCGCCCATCAGAAACGGTGAGATGGGTATTGCTTCTCACACACAGTGGCTCCCTCTGGAGGTTTTCCAGGGCGCAGCTGAAGCAGGAGAACATTTTGCTGTTGGGTTCTTCCTTGGTCTTGGCCAACAGCATGTTCCTGAAAAAGAGGTCTGCTGAGAGACAGGTTGGGATTCCATCAAATGTAGCCATCCTCGTTCAGATCACTGCACAAGGACAATTAAAAAAAATTAATTAAAGGACACTTAAATGTATGAGTCAAGCTTTTCTAGAAATGAAAAGGTACCTATCACCCCCCCTTCTTGGTTCCTTTGCTCTCCTTTTTTTTTTTTTTTGTTTTGTTAGAGCGTTTATTGGTTTTCCAATAAAAAACATCCAATTAACATATCAAATCATAATCCAATAAAAATAAAAAGATCAAATCGTCTTCCAAACTGTAATTTTGATTTTACGACTTCCCACAGTCTGAACCTCAAAGCATATCCAGATCTCAGTCCTGCCTCTCATCGATGTTTCCATATTTCCATATCTTGATTTAATCTCTCCAACCTTTGCTCTCCATTTGACCTGGATAAACAGGCTTTCCAACAAACAAGGCCTGCAGGGTAAATTAGACACACACCATCCTGGATAAAGGACCAAGGTCTTCTGCTGTGAACGGGCTGTTAGAGGTAGGTAGCCATGTTGGTCTGCCGTAGTCAAAACAAAATAAAAAAAAATTCCTTCCAGTAGCACCTTAGAGACCAACATTTTTTGTAAAATAGACAAAGGTTTTTGTTGTTGTGTTTATTCTGCAAAGAATACTTCTGAGCCTGAATTATGCTGACATTTATCATATCCAGATCTCAGTCCTGCCTCTCATCGATGTTTCCATATTTCCATATCTTGATTTAATCTCTCCAACCTTTGCTCTCCATTTGACCTGGATAAACAGGCTTTCCAACAAACAAGGCCTGCAGGGTAAATTAGACACACGCCATCCTGGAGAAAGGACCAAGGTCTTCTGCTGTGAACGGGCTGTTAGAGGTAGGTAGCCATGTTGGTCTGCCGTAGTCGAAACAAAATAAAAAAAAATTCCTTCCAGTAGCACCTTAGAGACCAACTAAGTTTGTTATTGGTATGAGCTTTCATGTGCACACACACTTCTTCAGATACACTGAAACAGAAGTCACCAGACCCTTATATATAGTGAGAGGGTGGGGAGGGGTATTACTCAGAAGGGAGGTGGGAATGGGTGATTGGCTGATAGGTGTGGTAAACCTGTTGATGACTCTTAACGACTGCAATTGGTCTTACAGGAAAAAGCAAAGGGTGAGATGACTAAAAATAGCTTTATCATGTCTAATGAGGTAAGAATCCAATGTCTCTATTCAGACCAGGTCTCTCCGTGGTTTTAAGTTTGGTAATAAGTTGCAATTCAGCAACTTCTCTTTCCAGTCTGTTTCTGAAATTCTTTTGTAATAAGACAGCTACTTTGAGATCTTGTATAGAATGTCCTGGGGAGATTGAAGTGTTCTCCAAATGGTTTCTCTGTCTTGTGATTCCTGATGTCAGATTTATGCCCATTCTCTATTAGAAGCACACTCAAGGATTTACAGGGGTACACATTATCACATTTATTGTGGCCCTTTGGGCCGCTACCACAACAGCAGGAGGGGTAGATCTCCTCAGTGCTTCTTCACCAGCCTGGCTCATCTCTGCCTCTTGGCCACCCTCATCCCACTCTCCTGCTTCCACTTCTGCCTCTGATTCTGGACTCCTCTCTACCACAGACTCTTCCTGCTCACTAAGCCCTGTTGCCTCTTCTTCAGCTTCTGACACCTCCTCCCTCCCAGTCTGCTCCCTCTTCTCCCTCTGACCACTCAGTTGGTGCCACCCAACAATCCACTGTGACCTAACAGTCCATGACAGTTGACCAGTGAGTTGACCAGTACTCTGACTCACTATAAGGCTGCTTCCTGTGTTCCTATGTAAATATACTGTACACTGCTGGTTTCTCTCTCTCTCTCTCTCTCTCTCTCTATCTATCTATCTATCTATCTATCTATCTCTGGCCTTTGGGACTTTCTCAGGCCACAGTCCTTCCTCACACCCCAGCTTGCTTTGCACCCTTCTCTGAATGCTTTCCCCCGGTCCTTGAATGAGTCCTTGAACTCTGATTCTGCTTTTCACCTGCCTGAGTTGGGGGACAGAGAGCGGTTCGCAGGTATGTGTAGAAATGAGCCCAGCATACAAAGGTAAAAATTAGCACTCGCTGATCTTCACGTGTTTGGCCTGGCCTACCTCAAACATTTGCCCGGAAGGGAATAATATGGCCTTTGGGCTGAAAAACGTCAACCCACCCCCCGCAATTATATTAAGAAGAGCAGGAGTCAAGCAACATTTTTTGTAAAATAGACAAAGGTTTTTGTTGTTGCTTTTATTCTGCAAAAAATACTTCTGAGCCTGAATTATGCTGACATTTATCTTTTGCCTCTCCCTCCCTCCCACCTTGTCCCATTAATAATAATAATAATAATAATAATAATAATAATAATTTATTTATACCCCGCCCTTCCCGGTTCAAAAACCGGGCTCAGGGTGGCTAACAACAAATTTAAAACACTTAATTATAAAAGCAGCATAAAATACAGTATAAAAACATGAATAACAATGAAATTCAAAAATCAAAAATCAATTTGATAATCCCCAGGGTTAGCTGGCTGAATTGGTCCTGTAGCCTTTCAGGCCTTTCCCATGGGTAGGGTGAGCATTGCTCCAGGGGAGGGAGGGAGGAGCCAAACAGACACCGAGGGCTTAATTCAGAGAAAGTGTCTTTATTCCTGCTATCCGGAGTAGCAGAAAGGAACCTGCGTGATAATTCACAAGCAAGTACACCTGAAAGCATTTTACATTCAGTTTATATCCCTTTTTTCAGGCCCTTTTCTTTTCCTCCCCTTTCCCAGGGATCCGGCCTCACGAGTTTGCACAGGTATGTTGGCAGAAACAATCTCCATTCATGATTAATAGAATTGTTTCTATCTGGTTCTCCTGGCACCATTCCCGGGGTCTGTGCACCAGCGCCAAGAAAGTTGCAAAGTTGGATGCGCTGCTGGCAAGGCCAACTGAAAGCCTGGGAAACAGAAAGCTTTGTTCTCTCAGCTTCTTTTTGTTACAGCAAAGCAAATGCTTTTTAGCTACTGAATCCTCAAAGAAAGTAATTGGGAAGTCTTGAGGCCTAGTTGAAGTTTTGAGGCCTAGTTGGGGTGAGGCCTAGGTGGGGTGACTTCACAGTCAGGTTTGGGGAGCCCCTCCCTTCAGTCCTACTTGGGCCAGCGAGGAGGCCAGGGGAGAATTAGCTGTGGGGTCTCAGAGTGGGTGATCTTCATAAAAGGGGAGGGGGAGGGAAGGGAAGAGAAGGGAAATAAAAGATCAGGCTGAATTCAAATTAAAGGCCAGTTGGAATAACTCTGTCTTACAAGCCTGACAGAAGGAGGTTAAATCCTGAAGGGCCCTGGTCTCATGGGACAGAGCATTCCACCAGGTCGGAGCCATCACTGAGAAGGCCCTGGCCCTGGTGGAGGATAGTCTGACTTCCTTAGGGCCCGGGACCTCTAAACTATGGTTATTCATGGACCTTAAGGTCCTTTGTGGGGCAGACCAGGAGAGGCGGTCCCATAAATATGAGGGCCCTAAGCCACAAAGGGCTTTAAAGGTCAAGACCATTGTTTTCTCCCCCACCCGCAGAATTCATATGGTCATCTTCCAGGGCAGCAATCTTTTTTAAAAAAATATTTTTAAATGAATTTCAGCACCATGCAGATGACAATATCGTTGGAGGGCGGCTGGGCAGAGGCTAGCCCCATGTTGCTTCTTTGGGTGGGGAGCCACTTCATCCCTCCCAGGAGAGATGCTGTGGCTCAGGCTCACTGCAGGCCCAGTGCCACTTGCAGGGTCAACACATGCCAGTTGCGTCCTTCTCAGCTGCCCTCTGGCATGGGGTGGCGGGGGACCCAGCAGCTCAGCACCCTGCAAGCACAGCCCCAGGCCGGGCTACTTTGGGGAGTGGGATGCCGTGCTCTGAAGTGCCTTGACTTGGGTGTCACCTTGGGCTCCAGCATGCTGCCCCCAAGATAAGTGCCGCCCAGTGCGCACACCCCCCAGCTATGTGACTGCCCCCACTTCAACCCTGAACAATTTTTTCAATTGTTTATTTATTTTTCTTTATTGAAAGTTCAAAAAGTACATAATTATATGTACACTAAACGTAAAGGTAAAGGGACCCCTGACTGTTAGGTCCAGTCACGAACAACTCTGGCGTGCTCAGCGCACGGAAACGCCGTTTACCTTCCCACCAGAGCGGTACCTATTTATCTACTTGCACTTTGACGTGCTTTCGAACTGCTAGGTTGGCAGGAGCAGGGACCGAGCAACAGGAGCTCACCCCGTCGTGGGGATAGTTAGTTGCTTTTGAGGCCAGGGGGACGGTTGTTGGGATTTACATAGGATTTATTTCAGGGGTGGGGAACCTGTGGCCCTCCTGGTGTTGCAGGACAACAGTTCCCACCGTCCCTGACCACTGGTCATGCTTGCTAGGGCTGATAGGACTTGGAATATAAGACCACAGGTTCCCAACCCCTGGCTTACTGTATGTCAGGATTTTACGATGCTCCCCCGTGTGGCTGATGCCTTTCCTGCAGCCTGCCAAGTCTTCTGGAAAGCGGAGACTCACGTACCCCCCCTCCTTCCCCCTCTTCTGGAGTTGAATCTAACCCCGGTCGCTGCTCTGCAACAGCCTCTGCTGGCTCTTGTGAATTTACAGCTTGCGTCTCCGGACAGACAGGGCTTTCCAGGCTCTTTATCTAACAATCACTGGATTATTGTTATTTTTTGCCTCTTCTTCTCTTCCTCCTCCTTCCCCTTCCTCTCCTCCTCCTCCTTTTTCTTCTCTTCCTTTTTCTTTTCCTCTTTCCCCCTCCTTTCTCTTCCTTCTCCTCCTCTTCTTATTCTTCCCCCTCTTCTTTTTCCCTCCCTCCTCCTTTTTCTCCTCCTACCTCCTCCTCCCCCTCCAATGTATTATTCACTCGCCACATAAATAATCTGCAAGTGACTTACAAAACTTTGAAAACTTCAGAAGCATAAATCACAACATAAAATCAGAAAAAGCACAATGCATTGCAACAAAATCCACACGATAACCTCTAAAAAAACTGCAAGAACTTCAGCAGCAGAGCAGAAACAAACGGCAGTAAGATTATCCAACTCCGTCAAATACATGGGAGAAGAAATATGGTTTTGCCTGGCTTGAGGTAGGGATGGGAGAGGGCAAAGTGGATTCAGTTCTCATGTGAGCTCCCTGATTTGCACTTTCTGAAACAATTCACGAACCAAAACACAGACATCTTTTGGGAATTTGCACTTTTCTGAATTTTGCAGTGTCACTCTTAAGTTGATTGTTGTGTGCAAAACTGCATAGACTTGAGCAAAGTATGCATTAGAAATAGATTACTTTGGGGAAAATGTATTACAGAAAATAACGCTGTGCAAAAAGTGTGTCTATTAGGCAAAACTGCATAGATAAATGTGCGTATTAGAAGCAATTCACACTAAAATGCTGGTGGATTTTGAGGAGGACTTCTTTTTTCAAGAATTGCAAACTGATGTGAAGAACTGAAGAGTGGACCGAGAGAGAATGGACAGGACAGATTTCCCCACCCCTAGAGCCAGGTAGACCTCACTATAGAATCTATATCTGTCACACCGAAGTTTAGAAATGATTTAGAGTGGAGAGGAATGAAGTAAAGGGAGAGGTGTGATGCGTCTTAGGGATAACAAAAGGTTAGATTCTGTTTTCCCTGCCGATTAGGTTCTTACTCTTAAAATAACGAATTGATTTTATTTTATTTCTAGAAATCAATTTTTGTTTTATTTGTAGAATAAAATAATTTCATTTATAGAAATAACTAACGCCATCCCTATTAGTACCCCAAATGGCTCCCCCACACACACAATAAGCCCTTTGCAGGTACCTTTGAGTTTCTCTTCTGAGTGGGAAGGAGTGTCAGACAGATGCGATGTGAAGGATGTAAAGATTAAGCTCTGTCCTTACTGCTTCTCTGGCGCTGAAAACAGTGATAATAAAACCCCTTTGGCCCCTTCCCCAAGCATGGTCTAAGTTTCGAATTCCCCAAAATGACGTTCCTGACTGATAACCAGCACTTGCGAAACGTCCACACAAGCCTCTGGCAGTCTACCAGTAGGGGATGTGCAGATCAAGAGATGGAGAGGGAGGGAGAGAGAGAGAAGGAGGAGAGGGAGAGGGAGAAAGAGAATGAGAGGGAGAGGGAGAAGGAGGAGAAGGAGAAAAGAGAAAGAGAAGGAGGAGAAAGAGAAGGAGAAGGAGAAAAGAGAAGGAGAAAGAGAAGGGGAAGGGGAAAGAGAAGGAGAAGGGGAAAGAGAAAGAGGAGGAGAAGGAGAAAGAGAAGGAGGAGGAGGAGGAGAAAGAGGAAGAGAAGGAGAAGGAGAAAGAGGAGAAAGAAGAAAGAGAAGGGGAAGGGGAAAGAGAAAGAGAAGGAGGAGAAGGAGAAGGAGAAAAGAGAAGGAGAAGGAGAAAGAGAAGGGGGAAGAGAAGGAGAAGGGGAAAGAGAAAGAGAAAGAGGAGAAGGAGAAAGAGAAGGAGGAGGAGAAGGAGAAAGAGGAAGAGAAGGAGAAGGAGAAAGAGAAGGGGAAGGGGAAAGAGAAGGAGAAGGGGAAAGAGAAGGAGAAGGGGAAAGAGAAGGAGAAAGAGAAGGAGAAAAGAGAAGGAGAAAGAGAAGGAGAAAGAGAAGGAGAAAGAGAAGGAGAAAGAGGAGTTTAAGCAAAGAAGTGGGGTGAAAGTCAATCATCTTGAGGAATTAAGGCCATTGCAGAGCTAGGATGTGTGAGTCTACAACTCGCACAGACCTCATAGCAGTTCCTTCGCTCACAACTGTGCACAGCTACCAGCTGTATGGGGTGTTAGTGGGGGGCTAGTTCCTCTGGCGGGGGGCACATCATGCTCATGCCACGACCCTTCCAGGGAAAAAGCCACTGGTAGTGCTGGGTGGGGGACGGGTGCCCCCCAAAAAGACGTTACTAAATACTGCCATTTCTATTTCTCTATTTTTCATTTAACGCCTTTCAAAAAAGAAAGAGAAATATGGTGCCTTTTTGGTAAGGTCGCACTTTGCACGTGGTCATGGCCAGTGCTCCCCCCCCCAATAAAATGTTTAGGGGTACTCTCATTTTCCTACTCATATTGAAATACTGCCTGCCCCTCAATGAGGCCAAACTTAGATTTGCAAAGTGTTTAAGAGTATGCGTACCCCCCCCCCCCGAGAAAAAGCACTGATCATGGCTAACCTTCTGCCCTCATTTGCGGAGGCGAAGCTGTTTCCTAGCAAAGGGCACTCTGCATACGGACGACATCTTTTAATAGGGAAAAATGGTGCCGGTACTCACCAGGAAGTTGTTATAGTACCGTATTTTTTGCTCCATAAGACGCACTTTTTTCCTCCTAAAAAGTAAGGGGAAATGTCTGTGCGTCTTACGGAGCGAATGGTGGTCCCTGGAGCCAAATTACCCAGGGGCGAAAAGCAGATCGTGCTTTTTTTTTTTTTTAGAAAGAGGGAAGGGGGTGTTGAAACAGAGCCGCTGAGCAGCTGATCGGCAAGTGATCGGGAGGGAGATAAGGGACTCTAGCGATAAAGGAGGCTGCCTGGGAGGGGGAGGTAAAGACAGTAACTTGTAAGGAGAGGAGACAGGAAGACCAAATCAATGAGGAGAGAAGTTAGAAGAAAAGGAGGAGCAAAAAACTGCTCCAGCTAAGGAAAAGACACTAAGGCAAACAAGAAGGAAGGTGGTGTTGAAACAAAGCCGCTGAGCGGCTGATTGGCAAGCGATCAGGAGGGAGATAAAGGACGCTAGTGATAAAGGAGGCTGCCTGTGAGGCAGGAAGGAAAAAGCACATGGATCCTCAGGATTTTTGCACTGAGTCACCCCAAATTCACCATCAGATCACATAGCATGTCCATGGCTACAGCCTGCACCCAAAAAAATCACACATCCACTGTTTTGTGGGGCTGCAAAAACGTAGTTACAAAGCACGGATCCACATGGATCCTCAGGATTTCTGCATTTGGTCACCCCAAATTCACCATCAGTTCACATAGCATGTCCATGGCTACAGCCTGCACCCCAAAAATCACACATCCACTGTTTTGTGGGGCCGCAATGGTGCAAAAACACGGTTACAAAGCACGGGTCCACATGGAGTCTCAGGATTTTTGCATCGGGCTAGCCCCAAACTCACCGTCAAATCACATATCATCTTGTGGTCACAGCATGAACCACAAAAATCATACATCCACTGTTTCGTTCAGAATATTTTTTTCCTTGTTTTCCTCCTCTAAAAACTAGGTGTGTCTTATGCTCAGCGTCTTATGGAGCGAAAAATACGGTAAGTGCCACACTCTTAACATTTTGGGGGGAAAGGTACATGTACTGCGTACCCTTGAGTAACCCCAGAAAAAAATGTTCATTATGCACAGTACTCCAGGTGAGGTCTGACCACTGTATTCTGCTCTGGTCAGACCTCATCTGGAGTACTGTGTCCAGTTCTGGGCACCACAGTTCAAGAAGGACACTGACAAACTGGAACGTGTCCAGAGGAGGGCAACCAAAATGGTCAAAGGCCTGGAAACGATGCCTTATGAGGAACGGCTAAGGGAGTTGGGCATGTTTAGCCTGGAGAAGAGGAGGTTAAGGGGTGATATGATAGCCATGTTCAAATATATAAAAGGATGTCATATAGAGGAGGGAGAAAGGTTGTTTTCTGCTGCTCCAGAGAAGCGGACACGGAGCAATGGATCCAAACTACAAGAAAGAAGATTCCACCTAAACATTAGGAAGAACTTCCTGACAGTAAGAGCTGTTTGACAGTGGAATTTGCTGCCAAGGAGTGTGGTGGAGTCTCCTTCTTTGGAGGTCTTTAAGCAGAGGCTTGACAACCATATGTCAGGAGTGCTCTGATGGTGTTTCCTGCTTGGCAGGGGGTTGGACTCGATGGCCCTTGTGGTCTATTCCAACTCTATGATTCTATGCACGCAATATGCATGTTCAATATGCATGCAACCATCCGCTTATCACCACAAACTTGGAGGTGACTAGAAGGGCAAAAGCAGTCTTAAAAAGGTGCAGAAAGGACAAAAATGGCATGAAAACAGTGTCTAGCAATCCCAGGAGCCTTTGTAAGTGCAATCCCAGGAGCCTTTGCACTGATGGTTGAGGCCTGTGGAGAGTTGGAAAGAGTTTGAGCAAGGAGATTTGGAGGGAGCCATGACCACCATTCATGCCAGTCCTGTAAGTGCTGCTGGTTTTTTAAAGGGTTATTCTAAGGTTTTCAGAGGTTTAGAGGGTGTTTGCAGGACTTTTCAATGGGTGTTCCCGATATACGTGATTTCATTTAAATTGGAACGTGACCCCCACGTAAAATGGTCGTCACCTCTAACTGTGGGGATAGGAACCACCGCTTTTGATAGGAAAATGTATGTTTTTCTTCTATACAAGAAAAAGGGAGTTAAGAAGCCTCTGTGGTATGCATAGCAAAAGCAAGAGAGTGGGGGCTGGATTGGAGAATGCGGGCATCGATCCCGCTACCTCTCGCATGCAAAGCGAGCGCTCTACCATTTGAGCTAATTCCCCAGTTGCCTGGCTCAATTGGGCCAGAAATACAGAAAAAGAGGCAGATCTCAGAAAGGGATCCATAAAGGGATCCAGGGAAGCTTTGCTGAATGCCTGGCAAAAGGAGGAGGTCGTGATGTTTGCTAGAGAATGCGGGCATCGATCCCGCTACCTCTCACATGCAAAGCGAGCGCTCTACCATTTGAGCTAATTCCCCAGTTGCCTGGCTCAATTGGGCCAGAAATACAGAAAAAGAGGCAGATCCCAGAAAGGGATCCAGGGAAGCTTTGCTGAATGCCTGGCAAAAGGAGGAGGTCGTGATGTTTGCTGGAGAATGTGGGCATCGATCCCGCTACCTCTCGCATGCAAAGCGAGCGCTCTACCATTTGAGCTAATTCCCCAGTTGCCTGGCTCAATTGGGCCAAAAATACAGAAAAAGAGGCAGATCTCAGAAAAGGGATCCATAAAGGGATCCAGGGAAGCTTTGCTGAATGCCTGGCAAAAGGAGGAGGTCGTGATGTTTGCTGGAGAATGCGGGCATCGATCCCGCTACCTCTCGCATGCTAAGCGAGCGCTCTACCATTTGAGCTAATTCCCCAGTTGCCTGGCTCAATTGGGCCAGAAATACAGAAAAAGAGGCAGATCTCAGAAAGGGATCCATAAAGGGATCCAGGGAAGCTTTGCTGAATGCCTGGCAAAAGGAGGAGGTCGTGATGTTTGCTAGAGAATGCGGGCATCGATCCCGCTACCTCTCACATGCAAAGCGAGCGCTCTACCATTTGAGCTAATTCCCCAGTTGCCTGGCTCAATTGGGCCAGAAATACAGAAAAAGAGGCAGATCCCAGAAAGGGATCCAGGGAAGCTTTGCTGAATGCCTGGCAAAAGGAGGAGGTCGTGATGTTGGCTGGAGAATGCGGGCATCGATCCCGCTACCTCTCGCATGCTAAGCGAGCGCTCTACCATTTGAGCTAATTCCCCAGTTGCCTGGCTCAATTGGGCCAGACATACAGAAAAAGAGGAAGATATCAGAAAGGGATCCAGAAAGGGACTGAGGGAGGATTTGTTGTTGCTCGTGGGCGTGGCTAGGATTTATGATACGGGGGAGCCCAAAAAGTTTTTGAGGTTTTTTTTTGGGGGGGAGGTTGTGCCCCCAAAAGTTATTGCCCTTCCACCTGGAGCCGGATTGGGTGGCTCCTGCAGACCAATCAGACTGCTGCATTCTGGATCCTATTGTTCTAGGATTCAGCTCAGTACATAGCAACACCTTTGTTTGAAACTCTGTCCTGCCAAGTGATACCCAAATTCTTCCTGACGTGGCAGATGTGGAAGCTATTGAGGCACCACTCCTGAGGGTGATAAGTTGCCCATGACTCACTTCCATAAAGAAGTGCTCAACACGCACACTGGTAGACCTTCATCTTGGTATTGGAGCCCCTGTTGTGTGCATGTCAAAAAGAAGCGAGTAGAGGCTGGATTGGAGAATGCGGGCATCGATCCCGCTACCTCTCACATGCTAAGCGAGCGCTCTACCATTTGAGCTAATTCCCCAGCTGCCTGGCTCCATTGGGCCAGACATACAGAAAAGGAGGCAGATCTCAGAAAGGGACCCAGAACAGGATTTACGGAGG